TTTTTTTTTTTGTTAATTTTCTTGATTTATTGAGTGTATTTAACCCCTTCTCCTTTCCCAATGCGCTACTAACTAAATCAAATTACTGTCACTTACATCCTTAAAAGTAGAAGATTTTAGCAAATTTTCTGAAATGATTTGTATTTAGACAAAAAAATAAAAATAACATATTTTATTTAAAAATCAATATATTCCTTGTGCTGTTTCGAATCTAAAATGTAGGCAAGAACCAAAATTTTTTTTATGCTTGAGAAATGTTGTTGTTTTTGATACTTATGCAAACTATTAGTTAGGTATTCAATGTTTATGTTTTGTTTATAATATTATGTATTATAAGCATAAAATTTTTAATATTTYAAACACAGTCTTGTCTATTTATGTAAACAAAATAAACATTCATATCATCCTTTTAATAATAAAGTTAATAAAATCACCTTCATAAAAATGTTGTTGRGAAGTAAGTTGTGTGATCTGTTTTGGATTGACTTGAATCATAGCAGCCCAATATGAACATCCTAAGATATTACACGCAAAACATTGAATAAATCCAGCATGATACTTGTGTGTGTTGTTTAAAGTTAAAATGCTTCCTAAATTAAATAATTTTATTAAAATATATTATAATTTTTTAGTCATTGCTCATTAATAACTAACCTTTAACCATTATATTTGTATCATTAACTGGTTTCCCATTAAGATACCAAATAATTTTGGGCGGTGGTGTTCCCATAGCTTCACATTTTAATGTCTCAGAACTGCCTTCATTTATTACTACAGATTCACTGGGGCCATTCTTCACATAAGGCAACTCTATAATATAAACAAAAACATTTGATACAGTAAAGTATGTTACTAAAATTTACAAACAATAGGCATTTACCTTGAACTTGAAGTGTTATAGAATGACTGATTTTTCCATGTATATTTTCAGCAATACAATCGTATACACCGGAATCTTCAATACTAAGATTGCGTATAGTTAACAAACCTGATTCAATATTGGTTTTGTTGTCATGCATTAGTATATTTTTGTGAATACCAAGCCATTTAACTGTAGGCACTGGTTCACCGTATGGAGCACATTCAATACTGACATTTGAATCTAAAATTATTAATAAAGTTACAAAACAACATTGATTTTTAAAAATGTTTGAAATAAAACATACAGAACAAGTTTTACAGTGTAACATAAAATAAATAATAACAAATATCAGTGAAAATAAATATTTACTTTTTTGAGCAACATATAACGATGACGGTTTACTTATAAACCTAGGTGATTGTGCGGTATGACTTGAATGAACATCCAAGTATAAAGACATAGATAAATTTATAACTTGAGATAAAATATTGTTAGTTGCTGAACAAGTGTAGTGACCAGTTTGTTCAGATTGAATATTTTTCAACAGTACTGATCCAGCTGAAGATACTGGAGTAGTTCTGAGTAATGGTTGACCATTTCTATAATACTGAATTAAAGCAGGTGGATCACTTTGAATAGGTTTACCACAATTCAAAGCAACTGTATTCCCTGCAGTAATTTTTAATTTATCATCATTTAATGATAATGTACGATTATCAAATTCTTTCAGAGTAGCCAAACTCAATGTTGCTGCTGTGGATGCCAAAGAGGATGCACCAATGGTAGCCACACATTGATAATCACCAGTTTCTGCAATACTTTCTACTTTAACAACAAGTCTACTATTACTGTTGGTATGTACTGAAGCTGAATGAATGAAATCCTTTGAGTTATGCAACCATTTTATGTTGTCAACATTGATATTAAGTGTGCAGTCAAACACTACTTCATCGTGAAGTGGTGCTACTAATGATTCAGGTGACCGTGTAAAATAGATTCCAATTGCTAGAAACAATAAGTYATGAATATATCAATAATATAACTTAAGAAATAGTATTTTGAACAAAAAAAGTGAATGCAAAAAATAAAAAAATTGAAACAAAATTTTTGCTGTAAATACATAAAAACTAATTATAATCATACCTGAAGCATTTCTTGAAAAATCTAAAATGATTAAAATTGGGATAAAAATCTCCCAATAGATCATTTTGATTATTGATTTGAGTAGTTTATTACTTCATTATTGTTCCTGGAACAATTAAAATATATTAAAATTTGTTWTATCTAGTTTAATTATTATTTTTGACACCAACTTTTAGTTATTGGGGGAACCATTATTTATTTTTCAGTTAACTTATAATCAAAAACTACATTAAAAAAATCTATA